CTATTCTATTCTATTCTATTCTATTCTACTCTACTCTACTCTACTCTACTCTACTCTACTCTACTCTACTCTACTCTACTCTACTCTAATCAATTTGCTGCCAAAGATTCCCAAATCCCATTTTCTTTTTTGGGTGGGAAGTTTGCCCATGAGTAAAAGCATTCTTTGATTAGCAAAAAACAAAATAAAAATGCCCAAGAATTCTGGCCATCATGTCCCTGTCTGAAGAACAGGATGCTCCTTGGAGACGATCAGAAAGTCTGGAAATCATATGAATCAGCAGAAAAATAAATATGCAGATACCACAGCAGAAATACTGGAAAAGAGAGCACGGGAGGTTCCAGGATTTAGTGCCTTTTCATCTAAAGCAGCTCCACCATCAAATACGTGATGGTTCTGTTCAGCATCAGCCAGAATGCTGACAAGAGTTCCCTTCTGCAGAAGTTCAGCAGAAATATTTGGCTTCAGAAATGCAGTTCCAGGCAGTAAAACAAGCGAAATTGTCATTTATGGCACACTTGGAAAAAAAATATCTGCTTACTTCTCCCCAATGCCTCATTAATTGTATTCCAGACACAATAAAATATCAATAATTCATTAAACGTCCTTTACTTAAAAACTGTTAAGAGGAGGCCTTTTAAGTTGTCTTTTCTTTTTTTTCCCTTTCTTTGCAGAACACCCGGTCCAAATCCGGAATCCCGTTGTACCTTTTGCAAAATAATGACAGATAGTCCTCGACTTACAACGGTTCGTTTAGTCATCGTTCGAAGTTACAACACTGAAAAAAGCGACTAATGACTGTTTTTCTTATGACCAGCTGGAATTTCTAGCATGTTTACACTATTTACACTATGTTTACACTATTGAAACAGCGACGTCCACGCTGGCTTGGGCATGTCGTGAGAATGGCTGATGGTTGGATTCCGAAAGATCTCATGTATGGAGAATTAGTGCTAGGAAAGCACCCCAGAGGGAGACCACAGCTGCAATATAAGGATATCTGCAAGAGGGATCTAAAGGCCTTGGGGATAGACATAAACAGCTGGGAAACCTTGAACTCTGATCGTTCAGCTGTGAGGCTAAAGACGCAGCAAAGGCCTTCTCCAATTCGAAGAGAGACGTTTTTGGCAGACTGAGGCAAAGAGGCTGTCCCGAAACCAATGAAATCCGGGGGCTGGGCAGGGGACAGAATGTATCTGCCTTCAGTGTGGAAGGGAGGCCACTCCCGGATTGGACCGGATTAGCCACACCAGATGCTGTTTGAGGACCTCTTTCCAGAGCATAATACCATAGTCTTTTGAGACTGAAGGATGCCAATGACCACTGCAGCATCCCCATGGTCATGTGATTTATAGTCAGGTGCTTAGCAACTGACTCACATTTATGACGGTTGCAATGACCTGGAGTCATGTGATCCCCTTTTTGCGAACTTCTGACAAGCAAAGTTTCAGGCTAGGGGAGGAGCCACTGCCAGGGGAAGGCAAGGGGCGGGGCCAGCCACTGGTGGGTTCTGCCAATAGGAAGCCACCGCAGGGGGATGAAAGAGCCGTGGGTTGCCGCCATCCGTCGCTTCGGCCCACCTGTGCCGCCATCCCCCCCCCCTTGCCGCAACAGCACTATTACCTCGTTCCGGCCAGTGAGGGCTGCGCTAATTCTTGCACATTTCACTAATCTGCAAAGTTGCACGTACCACCGTCTACAGCGCAGATTTCCAGCCCCACCACAAGCTACCTGGCTGGTCCTATATTCCAGAGCTCTAGTCACAGAACTGGCCCATTGGTCATCCCGGAGCAGCTCCTCCTCCCAAGTGCACTGGGACCACCAAAAACATTTTGCAGACAACCAGTGGTCCATAGATCACTGGTTGATGCTCGCTGCTTTGGAGAACAGGTTGACCCCCTCTTTTTTGTGAGCCCCTAAATATTGGAAGACTGCTAACATGTCACCTCTAGTCCTTCTTTTCATTAAACTAGCCATGCCCAGTTCCTGCAACCGTTCATCGTATGTTTTAGCCTCCAGTCCCCTAATAATC